CAGACAGCTGGTCATTTGCCTCCTTTTAAAGAGTTATTGAGGCCACCATCCAGTCAGAGCTGAAGGAGCTTCTTGGAGGAGAAGCGAAACGTCTTCAAAGAAAAAAACAAGAAAGTCCAGTTGCCTCGTGAAAAAGCACCTTTGGGATACTTTAAATGAATCCTTCAGTCATTAAGCAAATTTGGCTTCCCCAGTTAATCTTGCTTAGAATGGGTAGGCAACCTTGGCTCTTTTCCGGACAGACCATTCTGCCTTTTATTTTTTCTACTCTTGCTATTTTATTAATAGGGCTGGCAGATCATTTTCAGCTAGCGGGATAACAGCACAAATAACTAATGTTTCTTCCTGCAATTTAAAAAACCATTTCTTCCAGCTTTCCTTAATTTAGGTAGTCCTCTACTTACAACCATTTGTTTAGTCGCTGTTCGAAGTTACAGAGGCACTGAAAAAAAGTGACTTATGGCCATTTTTCACAATTATGACCATTACAGCATCCCTGTGGTCGCATATTCAAAAACACTTGGCAACTGGTTCATATTTAGGACAGTTGCAATATCGTGGAGTCGTGCAATCTCCTTTTCCAACCTTCTGACAAAGTGAATGGAGAAGGCAGATCCACTTAACAACTATGTTACTAATTTAACAGCTGCAGTGATTCACTTAACAACTGTGGCAAGAAAGGTTGTAAAATTAAGCAAAATTCACTTAAAAACTGTGTCATGCCTCCAGAAGACATGGAGTTCTCTGTTGAGGCCCAGGAGGAGGTGTCTTTGGCTTCGGAGGACTGTAGGGAGGAGCAGGCTGAGGCAGGCCAGGGCCCTTCAGGTTTGGAACAGGGAAGGCAGAGTTCAGGAGAGGAGCAAGCCCCCCCCACCTGATCCTAGAGCAAGGAGAGCAGAGAGGAGGAGGGAACAAGGGAGGCAGGTTCAATTGCTCAGCTCAATTGCTCGGGAGGAGAGCGTCCCGCCCCACTCCACAAGGCACACCTGGGGATTAAGATTTAAGGAGACGCTGTGGGGTGGGGCATTTGCTGGGAACAAACGTGGTATCTTGAGATAGTGAATTGTGCTCTTGTCTTTGTTTNNNGTTTAACCTGGACACTTTGAATTCTGGACCGGTTGGTTTCCTGCTTCACAACCACAGACTGCATTTCTGAGTCTCTCCTTGCAGACTGCAGGCAAGCTGAGAGTTAAAAGGACTCTTTACGTTTCTGTTTTGTTTTCTTGGTATCTGTTTTGCCTGGAGAACATTGTAAACCTCTCCAGCTGTATTGAAATTGCCTTTAGCCAGAGGCAGCTGAAAGGAACATATGTGTGTGCTTTGGTTGAACTCTTGCCAGCATATGTGGGAGCTTTTGGGGAACATTGGTGGTGCTTAAAGGACTGTTTCTCTTGCCAGCCAACTGCTTTGCTTCCGTTCGGGACCCTGGGTCATCACACTGTGTTACTTAGCAGTGGAAATGTTAGGCTCAATTATGGTTGTAAGTTGAGGATTACCTGCACATATAACTCTCCTTTTTTGGTATTAGAATGTAGATTGATCTCTTTCAGTTTGTTGGCCACTGTGTCATACTCTAGATTTGCCGACATAACTTGGTTAGAACTTCCATTTCTTCTTCTTTCTATGGATATTCCTTTTGTTTCTATCTATATCAACTTGGTCATAAAGGGAGTGCTGATCAGACTTCGTCTTCTATTACTAGAGTTTCTTGCAATTAGGGAATTTCTTCTAAAGAAAGTGGATGTCCAAATCTCTACTGCATAGTGTTTCAATATACACATTGCATCTTCCTCTGATCTCTGAATATTTTGCTATCTGAGACTCTCAATCTACAGTAGTGGCCAAACTTGTGGAAACCTTTTGGGAAAAGTGTTTTTGAGGTTTGATGGCTAATAACACCACTTTATGGGGGGAATAGTACCATAAAATTATATATCAATTGAAAGATAATTTAATTAAGAATATAATGCAACATAGTTTGTTCAATTATCTGTACTGTATTCTATGAAACGTTATAGCCAAATAACCAGAAAAAGGAAGCACAACTTGCTTAGGTTGATATCAGATAGTTTTCCTTCATCTGATTGTAGTCAATGAGAGTGAATGTTTAGAGAGCCAATCAGGTGTCGTCTTGTTTTGGCAATGAGCCAATCAGATCACAGTAGGATTCAGTTATTGATGTCATGTATTGAAGCTGAGAGGAGGACATTTGTTAGTGTGTTATGTGATCGCTATCAAGTTGGTTGGTTTTTTTGTGTTCTTTCCTTTAGTGAGCTTGTAAAACGTAATAAAATTAAAGTAATGGTGCAAAGCGTTGACTGGTTGCCCAGAAAGCAATGTAAAATAGTATTATTAAGTGAACAATGCTACAGTTATAAAGAAATTAGAAGAAAAATCGTGGAAACTTAACCAAAGGTGGCATTTCTACTGTACACTTTCCCCAAAAGGTTTCCACAATTTTGTCCACTACTGTAAAGGAAGATACTCCTGGAGGAAGAGATAGAACAGGAACAAGTTCATCCACAAAGAAGGAAACACTACACCGATCGAGAAAAAGGGAGAAGGTAAAAATGGCACTCCTGATCACAATGAAAAGAGGAAATAAAAAGAGGCAGTTAAGCATTTCACAAAAATTGCAGGGATTTACTGAGAAATGGCAGGTAGAGAGAGAGAGCAGAAACCTTGACTTCTCTTTATCTGGGTTGTAGAAGTATAAGTAGAGAGACAGAGGGTAAGGCAGGTGAGCTAACATGGTTAGGATCTTCTGAAAGTGGATCATAAACAAGGCTGTTCTTTCAGATGCAGGAGCAGTTCACAAGGGAGATCCCAGCAGAGCTCCAAGAAAGAGGAGACCAACCCAGTCCTTCTCAAGGGTTATTTTTCAGGAGGATCCAACTTGGGCCACCTTGCCAGGTAAGTGTAGGTTTCCTCTGAAAGCAATAGAGTTCAAGCTTTCTCTTATTTGTCAGCTGCTTTTTCTGCCAAATGTTGAATCTGTGTGCATTTGAACACAGTGTGTTCTTCCCCCACACCCCTGAATGAGCCAATGAATTACTTACAATCAACTTTCAGATTATTTTGGAGATACAAACAAGAGACCCCTCACGGACCGAGAGGCTTGTATTAGGAAATGTTATTTATTTATTGAAAAAGTTACCAAAAACCAATTAAAAAGATGAAATCCATAAATAGAGTGGTAATAGCATAAAAACCCCTACAGAAATGTACCAGCATATCCACTTAAAAATGAATAATACATTTCCCATGTAAAATTCCGTAATCAATCAACCAACCAATCAGAATAGAGCTAAAAGGAACCTTGGACGTCTTCTAGACCAGCCCCCTGCAGGAGACCGTATACCACTTCAGTCTTTTCTTAAAAATCTCCAGTGATGAAGTACCCACAACTTCCACTGGTTTAATTGTCCTCACTGTTTATGAAATTTCTCCTTAATTCCAGGTTGCTTCTTTCCTTGATTAGTTTCCATCCCTTGTTTCTTGTCTTGCCTTCTGGTGCTTTGGAAAATAAGTTGACCCCCTGTTCTTTGTGGCAGCCCCTCAAATACTGGAATACTGCTATCTTGTCATCCCTGGTCCTTCTTTTCTTTAGATTCGCCCTACCCAATCCCTGCAACTGTTCTTCATATGTTTTAGTCTTCAGGCTTTTAATCGTCTTAGTTGCTCTTCTTTTCACTTTTTCCAAAGTCTCAACATCTTTTTTTGTAATGTGACTAAAACTGGATGCAGTGCTACGTGGCTGCAATAGTCAGATTGTTAGTCAAATGACAGGCTTATATCCAACGTTTTGAATTAAGCTAGGGAGGAAATTCCAAGTGGATGTATCCCATTTTTTAAGCAAATTTGGAATTTGGTCCCCAAGTTGAGGTGAGGTCAGGGGATTCTGCTCCCCAAAGCCTCCTTGCTGAGTTATTCTGGGCCACTGGGAGGCTCCCAATGGAGGCTCTGTTGCCATTCTACAGCTTGAATGCCCCTAAGCCATGATTTGTGAAGTTAGACAGAGGCAAGGTTTCCAAGCCCCCCAAAACTATATGCACATACAGACATAAACCTCTCCTATAAGAAAATGTCTGTTTGGTCCCTTACAAAGCTCTGTTTTTAGTTTTGTGCAGTAAGAAGGAAAACTTAACAAGGTCTTTCCTGGGATTGAATGATAAGGAACATTCTCTTTCTAGGGCTCTAATTCCTTTGAAGAGATGGCTGTGGACTTCACAGAGGAGGAGTGGGCACTGCTGGATCCCAGACAGAGGGCCTTATGCAGTGAAGTCCTGCTGGAGGTTTCTAGGAATATGGCTGCTCTGAGTACGTCTCTTTTCTCTGCATTCCATTCATTGGGGGAGGGTTTTTCAGAGGGAGGTGAACAGGGAAGATCCCTGCACTCAGTTGCTTAAGATGATCATTGACACCTACCTGGCCATCACCTGAATTAGTGCACTCCTTTCAAACGTTTCCTAATCTTATAAAAGCAGTCAATGACCAGAGCCCCACTAGATCACAAACGAACATAGGGTCTTTAGGGGAAACTTTGCCCTAATAGCTGGTGCCAAACTTGGAACATGAATAGTCATGTTTTTGAGATGGGTAGACTCCCCTCCTTAACCATTCTAAATTCTAATGGGGACTTCTTCTTTTTTCCAAGAAGGTGATGGGCTGGAGGAGGAGAATGACGAGCAGGTGAGGTTAATGCCACTGCAAACAACAAAGCATGAAGTACAAGAAATAATGGCTAACTGTGAAGGGGATCCAAAAAGTCAAGAGAGAAGACACTCAGAAGACATGGGCGACAGGTTCCCGACTTGTCTTCCTGTTGGAATCCATAGCTTCCTGACCCAGAAAGGGAAGAAAAAGGAAAAATCCTGCAAAAGGGAGGAAAATAGGTTTGATTTGCACGAGTATAGCAGAAGTCAGACAAAAGGCTTTATAACTTATGGAAAATACGTCAATAATTTCTTCTCTCTTACTTTTCTTAAGAAACTGTATAGGAAATACAGATCACATACATCCCTAAAAGTTGGTAAGGATTTCAGTCTGAGCAAAGACGTGAAAGTGTGCATGAAGTCTGGAAAGAGCTTCAGCATCAACAGTATTTTTAATCACCATCAGAGGATCCACAAAGGGGAGAGAACATATAAATGCATGGAGTATGGAAAAAGCTTTTGTCAGGATAGAACACTTACTCATCATAAAAACATCCACACTGAGCAGAGACTAAATAAACGCTTGGGGTGGAGAAAGAGGTTTATTGACAATAGAAATATTATTTCCTGCCAAAAGATCCACACAGGTGAAAGACCATATAAATGCCTGGAGTGTGGAAAGGGATTTACTAGGAAAGGACATCTTACTTGTCATGAAAGGATCCACACAGGAGAAAAACCTTATAAATGTACTGAGTGTGGAAAAGCCTTCAGAACAAATGGTCATCTAATTCGTCATCACAGGACCCACACAGGGGAGAAAATGTATAGTTGCAGGGAATGTGGAAAGAGATTCATTGAGAATAGAGATCTCATTACCCATCAAAGGATCCACACTGGTGAGAGTCTGTATAAATGCCCGGAGTGTGGAAAGAGCTTTACTCAGAAAGGACAGCTTAATTCTCATCAATGGGTTCACACAGGGGAGAAACCTTATAAATGCCCAGAGTGTGGAAAGGGCTTCAGTACAAACTGTAATCTGGCTCGACACCAAAAGATCCACACAGGGGAAAGACCATATAAGTGCTTGGAGTGTGGAAAGCGCTTTCTTGACAACAAAGATCTTACTCGCCACCAAAGGATCCACACGGGGGATAAACCGTATAAATGCCTGGACTGTGGAAAGAGCTTTGCCCAGAAAGGACAACTTAATTCTCATAGAAGAATCCATACTGGTGAGAGACCATATAAATGTATGGAATGTGGAAAGCAGTTCAGTCAGAAAGGAAATCTTACTGATCATGAAAGAATCCACACCGGGGAGAAACCATATAAATGTACCGAGTGTGAAAAGAGCTTTGCAAAGAAAGGACAGCTTAATTCTCATAAAAGGATCCACACAGGGGAGAGACCACATAAATGCATGGAGTGTGGAAAGAGCTATTTCGATCAGAGAGACCTTACACGCCACCTAAGGACCCACACAAGGGATAACCCATATAAATGCCTAGAATGGGGAAAGACCTTGATTGTCAACAGAGACCTTATTTGCCAACAAAGTATCCACACAAGGGAGGAACCATATAAATGCACTGAGTGTGAAAAAGGATTTAATGACTACAGCATCTTTACTTGTCATAAAGGGATCCACACAGGAGAAAATGGAATGTGGAACAAGCTTCATTGAGAATTGTGCACTTAGTTCTAATAAAAAGATTAACACAGGAAAAATCCATATAAATCCATGGAATGAGCTTCATTTGAAACAGTCAACTTACTCATCATCAAAGGAGCCAGACATGGGAAGAAGCTTATTATTGTATGCAATGTGCAAAGATCTTTGGTTTGAAGTGGAAACCTACTTTCCAAACATCCTGTAAGGACCTGGATGAGCTGTCTCTCTCAGGAAAGTATAACTCTTGATGCCATGTATTTAATCAAAAGAACTTTTACTGAGAAACAGTGGTTGTATCAAAGTCAAGCGGAATCTAACATTCCCACGCAAAGCACCAAACTATTCTTCCCCCTTCAAAGCCCATCCTCCCCTGGCCAGTCCACCAACAACCAATACTGTACTGCAAGGTTGTTTTGAGAGCACTGAGGTACAGGACAGATAATGGGTCATCTTCAGGGCACCTTGGAACCAGGCTGAAATTGGCTGGGAAGGAGTCCGTCCTGTCTCCGCACACAATCCCCCTCACTAATTCCCATGTGGTTGCAGCAAAGTGAAAGCATGCAAAGAATGCTCCCCCAGAACATTGTCCTCCTCCCACCAAAATGGCAGGGCACTGAAAAGGGGGATCTGACATGCTGCCCCTCCCAAAGAGAAGGATTAACCCTGCAAAAGATGGAAGACAAAAGACAATTACAACAATCATTTAGGTTTATCAGGATATTGATTATGAAAATGTTTCATTAGCCTAGGGGCTCTAACATGCTGAGAATTAACCCATTCATTCTGGCTGGTAGGAATGTCCTTCCATGCCACTAAATGTTGGAGGTTTCCCCTGTGCTTATGGGAATCCAATATCTCCTTCACCTCAAAGTATAGTTCACCCTTTATCATTAAAGGCTCAGAAACCGGGAGAGGGACTGGCCTAAGGGGCAAGGAAACCTTGGGTTTCAATAAGCTACAATGAAAAACCAGATGGACCCAGTGCAATGACTTTGGCAAGTCTAATTCTACCATGACGGTTAATCAGGCGTTTGATGGGGAAAGGTCCCACAAACTTAGGTCTGAATTTCTTGAAAGGTTGAAGTGACTGCAAATAATGAGTAGATAGATAAACATAATCTCCCACTTTAAAAGGTTATGGCTCAGTTCTTTTTTTGTCAGCTTGTGCTTTATAGGTATCACGAGCATCTGTGGGTGCTTTTTGTATAACAGGCCCAGTATTTTGTAACTGGGAGACCCATACCTTCAGGGACGGTATCCCAGGGTCATTAATGGGGAGTTCTGGCATGGATATGAAGTCTTGACTGGTAGCCACTCGAAAAGGTGAAGCCAGTACTGCTGTGCACAGAATTAAGTGACACTTCCACAAATGGCAAGAGATCAGTCCAATTATCTTGTTGATAATAAAGCATCTAAGATTGTTCCAATACTGAGTTCATTCGTTCACACCCTCCATTCGTTTGGGGGTGGTGACAAGCTAAGGGTCATCCCAATAAGTCCAAAAAGGCCTGCCAAAACGTAGAGGTGAATTACACCCCCCTATCTGAAATAATACGTTGAGGTGCTCCATGTATTCTATAAATATGATGCAGAAACAGTTTAGCAAGACCTCGGGCAGTTGGGATCTTTTGACAAGGAATAAAACGCACTTGCTTGGAGAACAGATCAGTCACCACCCAAATTACTGTATTTCCCATGCTTTGGGGGAGTTGCACAATAATGTCCATAGAGATCTCTCTCCAAGGTGCTGACGGCTCAGCTATTTTTTGAAGAAGCCCCTAAGTTTTTCCTTGATGTCACTTTGTCGAAGCACACACCGGACAGCTGGCAATGTAACCCTCAATGTCTTTCTTGAGGAATGGCCACCAAAATTGCCTCTTAACTAGGTGCAATGTTTTCACAAAACCAAAATGTCCCACCATTTTAGAGTCATGACAACAACTCATGACTTTCTGGAACATAAAGTTTTGCCCCCACCCAGGCTAGTCTGTTTCGGATTGAGCAAACATTGCTGTGAATTTGAAACCACTTACCCTTCAGGGTGGATTGTAGAGTAGAAGTCACATCTTTGGGTTTTGGCACTTTTTCTCTCCCCTGGGCTCGGGTGATCACTTGAGCAGCTGATAGGACGGGAGCATTGGCTTGATTATTTCTGCTTTGGAGCAGTTGTATCACAGCATCCATGACAGTACATCTGCTAAAAAAAATCTCCCCCCCCCCAAGAGATAGCGTTGGTTAAAGTCAAAGAGGTTAAAGTACTGTGCCCATCATGCTTGTTTAGGAGAAAGTTTTCGAGGGGTTTTAAGTGCCTCTAAATTCTTGTGATCAGTCCAGACTTCCAAAGGTATTTTACTCTTTAGGCCAGGAGCGCCCATCTCACAGTGTAAGCCTTTTTGTCCCATCGTTGCTCAATTTCAGAAACCTTTTTGGAAGTGTAAGTGCAAGGCTGCAGTTGTCTGCTTTCATTTCCCTGCAGAAGCACTGCTCCCGCAGCCATATCACTCGCATCACGTTGCATAACAAATGGCTTCGGCTTCATCGGGTCAGGGTGTTTTAACACTGGTTCGGCTGCAAACAAGCTTTTCAAAAACAGTTTTGCATTCCTTCGACCACTTAAGTGGTCGATTAGGTTTAGGTTTGTCCCCTCCTTTCATTTTGAGTAAGTTCATGGTGGAGAGTGCTATCTGGGCAAATGAGAGAATGAATTGCCAGTAAAAGTTTGCAAATCCTAGGAAGCTTTGCAGCTGCTTCCTAGTGTGGGATGGGGCCCAATCCAGCACAGCTCTTAACTTTTTCCGGGTCCATTTCAATCCCTTCATGTGAAATACGGTAGCCCAGGTAATCTTTTAGTCTGGTGGAACTCGCATTTAGAGAGTTTGGCATGCAGCTTGGCAGCTCGTTGTTTTTGGAGGACTGTTCTTGCGGAGCCTCACATGTTCTGCTTGATTTCAGTGTAGATTAAGATGTCCAAATACACGGGCGGGAACTGGCTGGGAAGGAGTCCGTCCTGTCTCCAGAGACGATCCCCCTCCCTAATTTCCATGTGGTTACTGCAAAGCGAAAGCATGCAAAGAATGCTCCCCCAGAGCGTCTTTTCTCCCCCTCTCCCACAATGGCAGGGCACCCAAAAAGGGAACCTGGCACATCCCCACAGGAAAATACCTAAGTGCTTGCATGCAATAAGAGCTGAAGAAAGATCATCATAGGATGATCCTACTGGGGAGTTATGGAAATGTACAGGAGAATGGGTGAGTCAGTAAAGTGCACCATTATCTCATTCATTTTATACTTTCTACACATACTGAGTTCTCAATTCTGAGGCATGGAGAACATATCATCTCTTTAAAAGCTGGTTACCTCAATAGGGCTTGAGAGCTTGGTTTGTGGTCAAATGAATCTAGAAGATGTTCATAATAATCAGCTGTGGAAGGTGGAATAAAAGGAGAAAAGATATAGGTGAAGGAGGTGAAGAGGAGGTATATTTTCTATTTTATTGTACTAATATTTTATAGTCCTTAAGGAGGGAAGTTCATGCAGGACTTCAGGATTTCTGATCTGCCTGGGAAATGGGAAATTAGTTACAGTAGTGACCAAAATGGGAAATTAGTTACAGGAGTAGCCAAAATTGTGGAAACCTTTTGGGAAAAGTGTACAGTAGAAATGCCATCTTTGGTTAAGTTTTTACCAATTTTTCTTCTAATTTCTTTATAACTGTAGCCTTGTTCACTTAATAATTCTATTTTACATCGCTTTCTGGGCAACCAGTCAACTCTTTGCACCATCACTTTAATTTTATTACGTTTTACAAGCTTACTAAATGAAAGAACACAAAAAACCCAACCAACTTGATAGCGATCACATAACACACTGACAAATGTTCTCCTCTCAAATTCAATACAGGACATCAATAACTGAATCCTACTGTGATCCGATTGGCTCATTGCCAAAACAAGATGACACCTGATTGGCTCTCTAAACACTCATGGCTCATTGGCTACAATCAGATGAAGGAAAGCTACCTGATATCAACCTAAGCAAATTGTGCTTCCTTTTTCTGGTTATTTGTCTATCGCTTTTCATAGAATGCAGTACAGATAATTGAACAAACTATGTTGCATTACATTCTTGATTAAATTATCTTTCCATTGATATATAATTTTATGGTACTACTCTAAAAAACTGGTGTTATTAGCCATCAAACCTCAAAAATACACTTTTCCCAAAAGGTTTCCACAATTTTGGCCACTACTGTATATTTCCCATTTTAACATTTCAATCCATTCAACTGCATGTTTTTATAATCCAAGTGACTTTGTTCAAACTATGATATTCCCCACTAATTTTACAGTTTCCCAAATTCTATAAATGAATTTGTTCCGTTATTTCTCAATGGCATCTGTCCTGGGCAGTTAAGAGTCCAGAAAAAAGATTAAGTAATTCAAAAAACCGATGGCGTCTTTAATTTTCTTCTTAATTTACCTAAAAAACCGTCTATATGAAACAGAAGTTGCCTACATTGATAATATTTAGAATGCATTTCAATCTGAATAGATATGTTAATTTCCGTTAAAGATTTTGGATGCAAACAGGAACTGTAGATGATGTAACTTGTAGAAAGAACTTTATTATAAACAGTACTCCTACTTGCAAGCAAAGGATGCCCACAAATGAGAAAGTATTATGAATACTGTTAAATTCCAAGAGTAATGTTACGTACTGCTGAAAGACACTCTGCACAACCAGGGGTCCTCTCAGAATCATGACTTCTATTCAAAGCGCAGATGGCAGCTTTGGCTA